GAAATGTAATGAATTAAAAGCTGTATTTGAGATATTGTGGCTTACTATCCCATTGTTTCCCGTTCCTAGCACGGCATCTCATCCACATGATTGACAAGGGAATGGGCTTGGTCAGCTGGTTTCCACTCCCTGATTCCCCCCACCCCCACCCCCNAGATTCCACAAGTTTAACTGAATGTACAAATGGACAGTGCACGATCGTGCAAACACACACAAACTGTCGGACAGCCAACGCCAGAGATATTGGCTCTAAGAGGGGCGCTCTTATGCAAATGGAAAAAAATATTAATTCCCTCCTCTGAAATTGCCCCCAACCACACCACAGCCTCACCACCACCACCACCACCACCCTATTTCACAGAAAGGAGGAAGGCGTAATACTTGACAATGTTCTTTTTTGGTTTTTAAGTTCTGTTTAACAAACTGTTGAGTAAAAGTGTACCAGTTACAGTTTTTGTTTTCTTGATTTTTGACCTGTAGCCAGCTTGTATCAGAATACTTTCAGAATGAAATTGAAAAAGAACAATACTCACACTATCAATCTGTTATAGAGTGTATATTGTATTAACACTGAAGCCAAACTGGCTACTTTTAACATATTGTTAAGTAATATTAAATCTTGTCTTTCTTTTTTGAAAGATGGAATACAGTAGTATGGCAGGATTATGTGTCTTGTGTCAAACCTTATTTCCTACATGCAGCAGAAATTGTGAACAAAGGACATGGACACTTAAAACTACACATACATTTAGGGGAAATATTCACTTTCAAAATTGATAACTCTTTAATATCTGTCCATGAAATATAAGGCTACAGTAATCACCTGGTTCGCTTTGCATCATGGCTGGATTAACCTCCCAGGGGGCCCCAGGGCAAAGATTTGTTGTTGGGCCCCTACTGACCCCTACTATACATTTAAGTTTTATTTCCCCAGGAACCCGGAACCAAACAGCACATTAAAGCTGAAATGATGAGTAAATGAACCGATTAGTTTGATGAACAGAAAATAGTTATCTTGGTATTGTTTCATTTTTTTAAATTTTTTTAAGTTAAAATGCCAAAAATGCAAAGATACAGCTTCTCAAATGTGAATATTTGTTACTATATATATATGTTAATATATAGACTATTTGTAATAGTTTTCTGTCATAGTAAAAGTTTCTGACTGTCGGTCAGACAACTAAAGTAATTTGAATATGTTCACTTGGGCTTTAGGGAATAATGATGGTAATCATGTTTTCTGACATTTTATTTACTGAACAATTTGACAATGATTATCAAAAAAAAAAAAATTTCATTTCAACACGATTGTTCCCATATATATGGGACCAGACAATAATGTGAACTGTTTGCACTGAGGCAGGAATTTTACCTATTGTTGCTGTCTGCATGTTTGCGGCTACACAAGGTTGCAGGGTGAGTCACCCTCGGATATGTGTTCCTTTTGGGAAATCCACTAATTGATAGTCATATTCAGTCTAGAGGGCTAATGTAACTGAGTCATGTAGATCCCGGAGTTGTTTCAATTCGACGTTTGTAGGTCAAACAAAAAAGGCAGCTGCCACTAGGCTACTTCTGGCATTTACATGTAGCACTATTTCATATATGCACATGAAACTCTAGGGAAAATTGAACTCAAGCAGTTATGAAATCAAGTACATTCCCTCAGGGTAAAGTGAGCGTGAAATGAGGTCATGCTATGGCTTATCTAGATGTAGATGAGCTTATGCATACCTTTCATAGTGTATATCAGCTGTGGTAATGCTGTTTAGCGTTTTTACACTAGTTTGTTTTGAATGGAAAAGAGGCATAATGATATTTTTGTAAACTTTTTGTAAGCAGTTAATCCCTGCTGAGCATCCCTTTCTGCCATTTAGTGCTAAAAATATGTTCAAGTTAATGTGTAACTGATCTTGACTTTCAATTTGTAGTTCATTTTTAACTGTTAAAAACTATATTCATATTTTCGTTCTTTCTTAAAAAGAAAAAAACAAATTTTAAGCAACTCTTGATTTTTAAAAAATGTCCAAAGCTTGTGCTGTGAAAGTACAGTATGTTCATATCTTATGTTTAGAGGCAACTGGATAATGTGGAAGAGGAAGTGGGTTACAATAATGTTCTTCACAGTGACTGCTTCCTCTTAACTTTTCCAAGAGTAACTTTCTTAAAACCCAGTGATTTCACTCTGAAAAATTACCATTCTTACAAATTTGATGAATGGGAGAACTGTGGTAAATGCGCTTCGTGTAAGCTTAGACAAAAAGGTTTTGGTTTGTGAGAGCTCCCACAGCAGATATGACTCATAATTTATTTCAGGTATGAATGACTGTCTGGCTGTTTGTAGAGCGTGCTCGCTCTCAGTCACCAGTGATGTAAGATCGGATATACCACATTTAAGCAAATGCCCCACAAAACTACGCAAATGTAGCCAAGTCAAAATCACCGAGCAAAATGTCTGAGAGGCTAACATAGGCCGTGATCTAAATAAAACATCAAAATAGCGCAGATTTCTGTTTTTTGATACAGGAAGGGATAAGAGCCACTCAAACCAACCCTTTCCCTTAGTTAATAAAACATTTATGTCTGTAGAAACCACCTTTTTATATATATATAAAAAAAAAAAGCTTTCATCGTGTGTTCTTTGAGGAAGATTTCCTTGATTTGTAATTTGCTGTAAAAATGGTCTTGGTTGATGAAGGAAAACACAATGGTGCACTCAGCAGTCTGACAATGACAGGGGAGAGCGCCAATAGGATTATTAAAAGGGATCAGAGCTGCCTTGTAGCTTGTAATCAGAACGCTGATCTTTTCATCGTCGACCGCCTGGAGCGCTTCAGGATCACATACATTTCCACAGAGGGAATCCCCCCCTCTTCTTTCCTGGCTACGATCTGCCACCATGCTGCTTTTGATGGCCAAAACCTTGGACTTCCTTACCAAAAAGCCTTGATAAAACAGCCAGCATTAATACCAGCTACCTCAACCAACATACGTTGAATTAAAATGATCCGCTCAAGTCGACAGCAATCCATTTTCTCATAAGCTTGTCTGCTTTTTTGGGAATTCCCTTGTGATGGCGGGAAATTCCCATTCTTTTAGGATATACACAAGATTAAAGGCCGTATCTATCCATTCTTTATTTGTCTGGATAAGTGTCAGGCTGAATTTTACCCTCTCTGTTAAAGTATACGACTGCTAGATCAGTACATCCTGATGCTTTGAAACCTGGTTCCAACAGGAACTGATCTACCACCGTCACCTGACTTTTCTTACTAATTCTTTGTCTCTTAGAAAAGTTCCCAGACACTCAGGTGGGGACTTGTGACCTATTTTTTTCCACTCTCAGATTGGTGGGTAGAGCGTTGTGGAAGTTCAGTCACATATAGACCCTTTTGTAAATGCGTAGGTGTATGCTGCTGGTGGTGGTGGGGGGGGAATCCCTAGAAGACAGCTCATGGCCTTTTTAGGGCTTGTGTGTATTTCTGCCAATGTGCCTGTGGTCGACTTATAGACGAGATATTCAAGTTGCCCTTTAAAGCCAAAATTGGACCCAGTCATTTTGTAGGCACAAGAATTTGAGGCAGGCTCTTGTGTTATGTAAAGGAAATAGATGTGTTACAAAATAATTCAGCCACAAACATTGTCCCCAGTTAGTTGACGAGTAAGTTATCATGTGATGTCATTTGAACACTTGGGGACCTGGGTGATGTACCAACTTTCAAACCTCTTCATTTTGTTTTCAGAAGCAGACCTTTTCAACACTTCTAATTTTAAGGATTAATATCTTTAATTCTAGTATTGGTAGAAAAATCTGTTGAAATTGATCACCAAGTCAGAATTTTACTCTGAAAATCTTAATTAAAAGAATAGTTCAACATTTTGGAAAATATGTTTATTTTTTTGGATCACAGATAGTTGGATGAGAAGATTGATTCTACTTATGCCTGTACCATTAATGTGAAGCTACCACTGGCAGTTGGGTTAGCCTAGCTTAGCATAGAGAATGGAATTAAGGAAAGCAGCTAGCCTGGCTCTGTCCGTGGTTACAAAATAGGCAGTTTATCAGTGAGGCAGGCTTGCAGTTTCTTCGTTTCCAGTCCGTGCTTAGCTAACCGAATACTTGGTAGCTTCTTGTTTAACTAACCTCTTCTCATCTAACTTTATATGGTAAGAAAGTTTATAGCTAATTTCCCAAAATATAAAAAAAATTGCTTTAAAGCATGTAGTGAAAATGTAATGAAAACCCAAAATGGGCTTGTTTTTTAATTTTATCTAGAAATATATTTGATAATACAGTGGTATTTAAATCCAGATTCAAACTTTTGCTGAATAGCATCTACATTTACTGTACTGCTTGTGGGTTAAACTTAATTTCGTAACTGCTCTCTTTTGAAAGTTACAGTCTTCCTTTAAATGTGCCATCATCTGATCAGAGAACAATGCAGCAAAAGCCGATGCGTTCACTCACACGTAAATACCACTGCTGTTTGGCTCCATCTTCTTTATGCTCTGCAACTGCCTACTTCCTTTTAGAAGAGGGGATGTCCAGCTTCCTGTGCTTACTACACCAAACCCATGACAACTGATTCACCAAACAGCACTGTTTGTGTCAAAATGATACTTCACAATCCACTGACTGCAGATTTTTTTTTTTTTTAGTCACCAACTGATCTGCAGGCAGTTGTTGATGGTTTGGGTGTAACTTGAGCTGCCATACCCCTGTAGTGTTTGCTTCAGCCACACAACAGCTGGGAATCTGGCTGTCACAGTACAGCGTGCCCATTCAGGCAACGCTGGGAAGGGGTTTTCCACTGTGCACAAAACACACACGTGACATAGATGGACACACAAACACACACTAAAAGACATGCACACAGACTTAGATTAAGTAGCGCCAACATTTTCTTGGTTAGGCTGTGATCTGTGGTTACAGCTTCAGGCTGCAGACTGTCACAAGAATTAAAATATACCATGCAGGAATAAACATATTGAAAGCTATAAACAATCTAAACAATCTTTTATTACAAAAATAATGTGCCAGCTTGAGAAAAACAGCACCAGATTTCAGAAAATAAGCATATTGTCAGTTAGGATGCAGTCTTTGCATACACTGTTTCAAAAAGTGGACATTTTTGATCCCAAAAGTTTACCAGGAAGTAAAATTTCATGGCTTTGGTGAAAAAAATAGGCAACAAAACATTGCACGAAAATCCAATTATATATGCAAAAAGAATAAATATTAATATAATAGTTATATATGTTAAATCTGTTTTAATATATAATTTACAGAACAGAAATATGTAATGTTTAATCAAAAATAAACTACTAATAGCACCACATTATCAACTAGATGTCTAGGACCAAAAATAAGAAGCTTATGCATCATGAATCTTTGAATTGTACAATCCTACGATTAGTTTTTGGCTAAATGTCAAGAAAGTGCAACAGGTTTGTAATTTGACACATTGAGGTATATGATATTTGATATATTGCATTGAAATCCTCTCCCCCTCCACAATAATCTCCTGCATTGCCACAGGAGAACACTCAGAACCTGACACTTAAAAGAAAACAACAAAAAAAAAAAACTATGCAGACTTAGAAAGGCCTGATGAACTCATTTGTCTTGCGACAGGGAACTGTGGATTGTACAGTTTTGCTTCCCTATGTACAAACATCTTAAGTCAGTTGTTTAATTTGTAGTCAAGCCTCCCCAAATTGGAAACTCCACTCAGGTTATTTTCTGCCGTGTAGTGCTGCTCATCAGTGTTCATTTACTGTCAGCAAAAAGATAACTGTCTTTTTGAAGTGAGTGTTGTTCTGTTTATAGTTTGGCACACTCTTCCCAATGTTTCAGGTACTCTGCAGTGTCCCTGTCGTTGAACTTGGCCTGGCATAGTGGGCACTGTAACTCTGACTGGCCTGAGCATTCACTCCAGGCGGGGCTCGGTGTGGCTGCTGCAGCTGCAGGCTGTTGCTGTGTCTCAGCAGTGGTCCTCAATAGGTGCTCTGCGTCGTCCTTCTGTCGCCTTGAGGAGATCCTGTGTCCTATGTGCACACGACACATGGGAACCACATCTCTGTTTTCTCTGCTAGCTCCCTGCTAAAAAAGCGTGAGACATGTAGGCTGTTAGGATTGCACCAGCCACACATAAGGGAACATGCTAACCGTAAAAGGAAGAGAATGCTATGTAGGCATATAGGTATTGAAGGACCGTTGTCTCACCTGTTTGTGTAGCTGCTGTTTTAGCTGATGAACCTGCTCCTTCAGATCTTGGATCTGGCCCTGTGCTCGCTCTCTATCAGTTCGCTCAGACTTGAAGTCCTCTGTATAGATGAGGACCTGAGGAAGGAAAATAAAACTTTACTCCTTATGTTTCTCTAAAATTCAGTTTAGGTTTGTTAAAAACATCAGATGCTACTAGAGCTGTATACAATAAAATTATACATGTGCACACACTGCATCAATGTAGAAGATACACTGAGACAATAAAATAGTACCGACCTGCTGCTCCAGTGTCTGGATGCGCTCTTGGTCTTGCCTCCTTGTCTCCTCTCCTTCTCTACCCAGTCTTGCACATTCACTAATCTTCTCCTCCAGTAAGCCATTGAGCCTGGAAATCTCCTGATGAAGCAACCCTGTGCTGACAGAACCCAGCCCAGGCATCAAGCCCTGCCCAGTGGTCTCCTTCAGCCTCTGACATAAACCTCTGATATAGTCCTCCCTGCTAGAGTCATACTTCTGCCACTGAGAATTCAAACCTTGTACCTAAAAAAGACAAATTATAAAGACACTGTTGGATATACGATTCAACTGATTTTGTATTTAAGCAAATTAGTATTGCACTTAGGAGTAATTAAAATATATCTTATAAAAAAATTAAAAAATCATTATTGAGAATAACTTTCTAGTTGACTTACATATGCCACTCGCTGCTTTAGCTGTTTATTCTCCTCCTGAAGTTGGTAGATTTGAGCATTAACACCACTCATGTCAGAGGACTCTGCTGTCTGTGGAAAACGGTGAAGGAAGTTACAGCAGGGTCCTCCAGAAAAAAAAGCAGTACTTAACACAGCATTTAAAGAAATGTGGGGATTTTTTGTAGTGCGTTGAGCTCAAGCTCCACTGCAACAAGTGAATAAAGACACCAGGAGCCCCATGAAGCTGAGGCATCACACACCTCCTTAGGCTTTTGAAGCTGAGCCATCTCCTCCATTTCTCCTTCTCCCTTCTTCTCTTTCTCTAGCCTCGCCAGCAGCTCCTGGCACACCTTCACAGTTGCACCGAGCTGGCCACGGAGCTGGTCAGCCTCTTCCGCCAGGGAGGTGCAGAGGACGGCTCTGGTGGCCTCGGACCGATCCCTCTCCTCCAAGGCCGACCGCAGCCTCTGAATCTCCTGGTCCTTCTCGTGGTCTGGCTGACACCTGACACTCTCCAGCTCCAGTTCCTTCTCTCTGAGCTGCACATTCAGCCTCTGGATCTCCTGGGAGAAGACACGGTGATGAACTGCATGAGCACATTAGTTTGTACTGTGTAGTCTTTAAGTGCATTTTATTTATTAAAGATGCGATACAACTAAAATTTATTATTCTAATTATTGCTACTGATATTTGCTCTGTTTGATTTTCTTTTAAATCATGAGTATTTGTTTCACTGAGGATATCACTGAAAATATTCACTAAGATTTTACTATTAATACAACATGGACATCACAATTGCATGCAGGTCAAAACAATAAATCCAGCAGGGTGACAAAAACTTAAAAGTTGACATGTAGACTTAAAGGGTTTTGAAGCTTAGTAGTTCTTGCTGATGGACTGGTGGGAAATGTCCCTTCATTGGACAGACCTGCGCCACTATTCTAACTTCTCTTCAACTTCAGGCTCCAGTGTCCACACTCATCTGCAAGGAACAACATGGTAACAATATATTATACCTCTTCTTGTCGAGATGCCTTGAACTCCATATCGTTCCTCTTCTGTTTCAGTTTGCATATTTCTTTACATAAGCTCTCCAGCAAAGACTTGGACGGCCCTATGACCACAGACTCTTTATCTCCCACGTTCATGTAGATCCTCTCATATCTCCCCAGCCTCACTTTCAACTCTGCAATGATATTGTCCTTTACATTTATCTGTTTGTTCAGAAGGTCGATTTCCTGCCGAGTCTCATGATAAAGAGTATTCAGCGTGCTGTAGCTCCGGATTTTGTCTTTCACCATGTCGTTATCCGTGTTCATACTGAAGTTATCCATTGCAAGTTTAGTAGATTTAACAGAAAGATCAACTCTTAATAATCCAACATTTGACACCTCTGTTCCTAGCCCTGTGTCTTTAGAAATGGACCGAGGAGGACGATTGTCGGAGATTTGGCGCATCAGTGTCGAGAATAATATAACAGTCTGGGGGGATTTCCTAGGGAACTTCCCCACGTACTTTTTTGAGCTTCGTCAAACTGAGCCCTGCCTGCTCTCAAAGATTCATCGTCGACCGTCATTAGGAGGTAAAATGGTTTTATAGCCCGTTGGCACAAATGGTAAAGAACACACATAAACATACATTTTAACTACAGGCTAAAAGGTTTTAAGCTAGGTTCCACCAACGGCTGGAAAAGTAATTCTGGTGCTGCGTTCACCACCGTCGTAAACTCGAACTCTCCAAGCGAGAGACGCAAAGAAGTGCATTTGATTAGCATTAGCAAGTGCTCCTAGAAGAGAGTCGTTTTAGTTTTAGTTTCATAAATTAGACTGGGAAAGAAAAAAAATTAAGTTAAGTTTAAATCCCACTTAAAGTTTGTCGTCTTGGGCTTAAAGATAATGTAGCCACAAAAAGACCTATAGAAAATGAAGTCCCCTATAGTATTTTGCAATCAGTACAATTCTAAAGCATTAATTTTCCCAAAGGTAGTTTACAGGGTTTTCACGCATCTCGCCCCCTAAACGTCACACCAGGGCATTTCTATTGTCATAGCAAATTCCCCATATAGCCTACGCCTGTCATTATTTTAGGATTGTTTATCCTCGCCCCACTGGTTTTATTTTTTCCCACAGCATTGAAGGCATCATGACTGCTGGTTCCTAATACGGATACAACCAGTGTGTGTGCGTGATTGTATTCTAGCTGTCCAGACTATTACATGATTCATACAGAATGAGTTATGACTGATCATTGGATGGCTCTTAATGATTCTCTGGGGGTATTTTGCTTTCTGAAACTTTGGAAATATCTGTTACTGTAACAAATTACAAATTGACTGCAATATTATAGGAGTACTTAGTGCCATTATTACCTCGTGATGCTTTAGTTTTAGCCTATAATTATCACTATTTTTGTAATATGCCTGTGATATCAAGCTGGTATTTTACATGGGAAAAAGCGTGCAATAATTTAAACATCACCTCTCCTATAAGGTGTTAAATTGACTAGTCCACAATTGAAAAAGTTCAATTAAAGATAATTAAATTAGGGCTGCAACTAACTTTTTTCATTATCAGTTAATCTGCAGTTTATGTTTTCCAACTTGGCCTAATTATTCATTTGGTCTTTATAATGTCAAAACAAAGAAGTGACCGAGGTGAAGTCTTCAAATGTGAATCCTCTGGGCAGTCCAAAAATATTCCATTTAGAATGATGTCTATAAAATTAAATTCATTCATTCATTTATTAATTCAAAAGAAAAAAAAGGAATAAGGATAGCATCACCAACAGACCTCACCCTTCTTGATGCTGCAATTTGTATTAGGCTACACATTAGTTTGACATGTATAGTACAGTAACATTATTACATGGGAAAAATGCAACATTTATAATGTAGCCTATGCAGGCTAATGCATGGAAGAAGTATTCAACTGCTTTAATGGTTGTGCACAATGTTCCAAGTCAATACTGAAGATATTGTATATCGTTGATTTGCTATAAGTTGCATTTTGGTTTTGTAGCTTGTTATAGTGGAGATCATTTTAATTAGTGTTTGTAGTTTAATCAGTACTGCATTGTATTTTACCAAGTGATCATATGTTTTGAATGTATAATGTTGGTCAGTACCTACTAGCAATAGCTGTCAAAACAAATGCAGTGAAGAAGAACACATGTATTGCCTTTTGCAGGAGCTTTAAACACAATACACATTTCTTAATACATATAAGCCTCTTGTTAATACTTAAGCTACTTGGCAAAACTCCTGACCAACCCTGACCAACAAGAACACTACTTCTGAGCCTTGGCAGGTCAAAATGAAACCCCTGTCTAGACTGTAGGAGTAGGGTTAAAGGCTTTTAGGCAGGCATACAAGAGGCTTCGTCAGTTCTATTGGCCGGTGGGGAGTCCCAGGTATTTCTGGGTCAATCACGCTATAATGTCACATGAAATCTGTAGGTGACTCATTGAAGTCACATGGTAGTCATGTGACAGTTCAAGGTGTAAAGTGGTATAGAAACCATGTAGAAGAAGTGAATGTGAGGACAGTGTTTTAAGTCAGTGATACTTTAAGTCTTTTTGGCAATACCAGCTACAGTTCACTTTCATTGCAACACCAGTGAGGAGTCTGAATGTGGTGTTCTTTCCTCATGAGAGGAAGTCATTTAGACTGTAGATTACAACTCATCTCTTTTGGTTCACACCTTGATTCATATAACAACCCTCAGCAGCTCATGTGCCAGTGTGATTCACCTTGAGAGGTGAAATGTCTGGGACTCCCCATCAATTGGCAGAGCTGATGAAACCATAAAACACGTGGGGAAATCTACTCACACAGTCCAGTGGACTGATTCATTTTGACATGTCAGTACAGTCGTAGTCATCAAGGTAGCACAATACCTGGATGAATGAGAAGAATCTACAGATACATACTGCGGATGTACTCCACATCACTCAGTGGATGGCCCCAAGTAGTTTGCTATAGTGAAACGATTAGTTGACAGAAAATTCATCCACACGATTAAATCATTTAAGTAATTCTGAGGCTTAAGTTGCAGACTTCTTCCAGTTTCTCAAATGTCAGAATTGTATGCATTTCTGGTTTATATCCTCATGGATGCTTTGAGATTTAGACTGTTGGTCACAGAAACAAGCCGTTTGAAGATGTAAATCGCTAGATTAAGTCGTATAGTCTGTCTGTTTCAGATCTAACATTGTGCCTGTTTTTCTTAAGTAAAGACTTTGTATATGGCATTTATCAAAATAAAAGTTACAAAGAGCATCTCCCAAACAAAACAGCAAGAGAGCACTCATGCGTTTAAAAGTACGACATAAGAAGTAAACTTAAGAGCAAAGATGATATGTGGAATATTTTAAAAAGCATTGGGCCTTGCAGTACAATAATTTCCCCACAGTAATCAAAGTAGTGAAAAACAAATGAGTATCAGGAACAAAACAGGTGTCACATTTCTTAGATGTTTCTCAGAAATGCATGGTCAAAACGAAAGAAAATAAAGCCATGTCTATAAGCAAGCATGAAAACACTACATTCAATATGACTGCATGACAGATCTTTTAAAGCATTATAACCCCCACTTAAGTTAAATAATGGTGCAAATATTTTAGATGAAAAAACTGTAAATAGTCATCCTTAGACGCGGTGCTAAATGCAACAAAAGGATTTGTCTGCAGTTACCATAGACTTCCACTAGATGGTGGCATTTAATAATACATTCTGTAGATTTTTTTCCATCTTCTAACTACGGTCATCAGGATTTTTTTTTAAACTCCTCTTTTATTCATGAATATATTGGTTTCCTGCTGATAGTCAAATGTGAACTTGACCTCTATATGTTAGGATATCTTATTTTTAGAACTCAACACTCTGTTCATGAGTAATTTCAAAATGTGTTGTTGGCAGCTTTTAATAGCTGGAAACTTTATACAAGAATAAAAGATAGTATTTGATATTTACACAGTAATACTTTCAAAAAATACTTTACATTGCACACATACACACTGCCACATGGTTATTTGCGCTTATCAAGTTACTGCTCATCAAATCAACACTATCAACCATAACTCAGATATTCAGCATTAATACAATTTGTGTTACTCATAAAACAACAGGATGAAGATGCAAACCAAAACTTTACATAAAAGTTTAAATGACATATGAAAGTCTGGAGTAGAAAAATATTTTAGTTTTATCATACTGTGGTAGAAAAGTATGCAGTTGCTCAGGCCTACAAAAGTTTTATCAAGAATAATCAATTGTTGAACAGGAAGAGAATATAGCCAGCTATCTCTCATTTTTGCTTGAGAAAACGGTAGGAATACAAAAACACAAACATTATTTTGTCTTTGAACATCACACTACACACACGGGGAATCACAGCTTCACTCGGTATGCACCACACACAATGACTCCATCTTTGTAACTGTGTCTGTAGAACTAGGACAGAAATGAGTTTTGATACCTTATTAAGGAAGACTCCCTCAAAATATCCCGACAGAACTCTTAAAAATCTTAATACTTGAATTGTGAAGTCCTGTCTCAAGCAGTCAGGGCCTTTGACTCTTTTAATGTAAGTTGTTTTTTAATAGGAGTTTTTAATAAAGCTTGACCACTGCCCTAAACAAATTCTGCCGAGAATTTAACCCTGTTTGAGGCCCCCTCAAAGAAGGTAGAAAAACCCTACTTTCTGATAACGGAAGAGAAAAGAAAAGTATGTTAATGTATGATAAACTACATCTGCAGGATGTAACTGTAGGCCACATCTGCCAATGATTATTAGAGTCAGTCATTTTTAATCCTGGATTCAAAGCGCTGCTAGTTTTCACTCTAATCATGTAATTAGTGACTCCTTTGTACCTGGGACACCAGCTTAGTGCAATTAACTGCAATTAATGAGGTGACAGCAAAAAAGACAGCTCCCAGGGAAGACACTTGAAAACTGGCCACTAGGGGGCGGTCAGTGCAAAACGAACAAGAGTGGATGGATGAAAGTCACAGAATCTCACATAACTCTACCGTTAGGGACTTCTCTTTCTATATTTATTTACCTTTGTATTTGCACCAGATATAATTGGTGTTTTTAGCAACCAAATGATGGCTCTTAAAATATTTTGATTAATGTAGTTTGAGTGTATTGGGGCATAGCACCTTTTGGAAACTGAAAATCCATAAAATTTACAGTGGAGAGTCGAATAAATGCAAGCTATTTCAGCCATGCAACCCTATGTGTGCCCCATAACACCTTGTTTTTAAGATTTAGGATATTAATGATAAACCAATGGAAGACACATGGCCAGGGAAACGTCTTTGCTGGGCTCTATAGAAAGATATATTTGACTGCAAACCAATCATGAAAATTTGAACGGGGAAGAGCTCAACTGAACTTTATCTTCAACAGTAACACATGCAGTTTTTTTTCCCTTCCTAGCACTGCAGCTTGCGGATACTGCGGGAAATCCTCTTAAACTCACGCTGGCCCTTCTGCCAGCGCTTCAGCGAGGTGATGACCAGATGGCCGTCCATCTTCTGGCCCATGACCAGGTAGGCAGCGTTGATGTCGTTCATCTCCTCACAGATGCACTGCAGGCCGTCCTTCAGCCACAGCACAGTCTTCCTCAGGTCATGCTCCGTCACGCCGTTCAGCTTGTAGATGGTC